GGCATTAAAGAACTAGAGGGATGTTGTGTGTTCCGTTGGTGCTGAGCTGCACCCTGGCTGGTCATCCCTTCCTTGTGACCCTTCTGTGAGGGGATTTCCAATTGTCTACGGATGGGCTTTGGGTCTCCACTCCGGGCCCCCTGGTTCGCATCGATATGATTGTCTGTTTTGGGTCTTCTGATCCTGTCGGCACCTTGTAATTACATAGGCTGGTATGCTTCTTCCATGTGGGCTTTGTTGCGTCCCTGCTAGATCACCGCTTCTTTGACTTTAAGCCTTTAAGATCCCAGACGCTTATATCTGGGTACCATCAGCTTTCTTCACATTTGCTTATGCACCCGCTTTGTCTTCAGCGATTTTGTTGGGAAGATGCGCATCATGGAATGCCAGGTTAATAGAACAAAGTGCTCTTGGGTTGAGGGAGTACTTGTTAGAGACCCAATGTCCATCTGCTCCCTTAATACTTAACATATAAATATATGTCCATAGACCTATATCCCTATCGTTATATTTTAATATATTTACATATGTACATGCCTACATTTATAGCTCTATGAATGTCCTTTGTCTCCTAATTCTTCCCTCTATTTCCTTGTACTTTCCTCCTGTCACACTATCACGTTCTACCTTCATTCGGCTCTGAGTAATTCCTCTCGACTACATTGCTCTTGATCAAACCTCACCAGACATTCTATGCCATCCTCACCATTGATTTTAGATCACTTGTTGTTCCCTTGTCCTTGGGTTTGTTAGCTACTTCCTCCCTTCTCCCCACCTCCTCATCCCCCATGCTCCCCCCAGAATCATCGGCCCCGTTGTTTTCTCCTTGGGATTGTAAACAATCCTGCCTATCTTACATAGATAGACATGAAAGGGAGGAGGAGGAGAAGGAAGAGTAGAAGAAAAGTCTATAAATAGTTCCAGGTCTGTCTGCTGCCCCTTAAGAATGCTTACCAATAGTGTCTGATAGATGACAAGTGCTGGCCCCCAAGTCAGAAGTCTGTTTT